AGTGAGCCAGTGAGAGAGTGAGCCAGTAAAGAAGCCAGTGAGACGAGTGAGCCGAGTAAGAGAGTGAGCCAGTGAGAGGTGAGCCAGTAAGAGAGAGTGAGCCAGTGAGAGAGTGAGCCAGTAAGAGAGTGAGCCAGTGAGAGAGTGAGCCAGTAAGAGAGTGAGCCAGTGAGAGAGTGAGCCAGTAAGAGAGTGAGCCAGTGAGAGAGTGAGCCAGTAAGAGAGTGAGCCAGTGAGAGAGTGAGCCAGTAAGAGGGAGTGAGAGTGAAGAGAGTGAGCCAGTAGTAAGAGAGTGAGCCAGGTGAGCCAGAGAGTAAGAGATGAGCCAGTAAGAGAGTGAGCCAGTGAGAGGTGAGCAAGTAAGAGAGAGTGAGCCAGTGAGAGAGTGAGCCAGTGAGAGAGTGAGCCAGTGAGAGAGTGAGCCAGTGTAAGAGAGTGAGCCAGTAAGAGAGTGAGCCAGTAAGAGAGTGAGTGAGAGGAGCCAGTAAGAGAGTGAGCCGGTAGAGAGTGAGCCAGTAAGAGAGTGAGCCAGTAAGAGAGTGAGCCAGTAAGAGAGTGAGCCAGTGAGAGAGTAGAGCCAGTAGAGAGTGAGGGTAAGAGAGTGAGCCAGTGAGTGAGCCAGTAAGAGAGATGTGAGCCAGTAGTGAGAGAGTGAGCCAGTAAGAGAGTGAGCCAGTTATGAGAGTGAGCCAGTAAGGAGAGTGAGCCAGTAAGAGAGTGAGCCAGTAGAGAGAGCCAGTGAAGGTGTGTAGAGAGTAGAGCAGTAAGAGTGAGCGGTAAGAGAGTGAGCCAGTAAGAGAGTGGAGTGAGAGCAGTAAGAGAGTGAGCCAGTGAAGAGAGTGAGGGAAGGGAGTGAGCCAGTAAGAGAGTGAGCCAAGTAGAGAGTGAGGCGTAAGAGAGTGAGCCAGTAAGAGAGTGAGCCAGTAAGAGAGTGAGCAGTAGAGAGTGAGCCAGTGAGAGGGTGAGCCAGTGAGAGAGTGATGCCATGAGAGAGTGAGCCAGTAAGAGAGTGAGCCAGTGAGAGAGTGGAGCCAGTAAGAGAGTGAGCCAGTGAGAGTGAGCCAGTAAGAGCCAGTGAGAGTAGCAAGTGAGCCGTGAGGAGTGAGCCAGTAAGAGAGTGAGCAGTAGAGAGTGAGCCAGTAAGGAGTGAGCCAGTAGAGAGTGAGCCAGTAAGAGAGTGAGCCAGTGAGAGAGTGAGCCAGTAAGAGAGTGAGCCAGTAAGAGAGTGAGCAGGTGAGAGTGAGCCAGTAAGAGAGTGAGCCAGTAAGAGAGTGAGCCAGTAAGAGAGTGTGCCATGATAAGAGAGTGAGCCAGTGAGAGTGAGCCAGTAGAGAGTGAGCCAGTAGAGAGTGAGCCAGTAGAGAGTGAGCCAGTAAGAAATGAAGTGAGCCAGTAAGAGAGTGAGCCAGTGAGAGAGGTGAGCCAGTAAGAGAGTGAGCCGTGGAGAGTGTAGCCAGTAAGAAGTGAGCCAGTAAGAGAGTGAGCCAGTAAGAGTGAGCCAGTAAGAGAGTGAGCCAGTGAGAGATGAGCCAGTAAGAGAGTGAGCCAGTGAGAGAGTGAGCCAGTAAGAGAGTGAGCCAAGTGAGAGATGTGAGCAGTAAGAGAGTGAGCCAGTGAGAGAGTGAGCCAGTAAGAGAGTGAGCCAGTAGAGAGAGTGAGCCAGTAAGAGAGTGAGCCAGTGAGAGAGTGAGCCAGTAAGAGAGTTGAGCCAGTGAGAGAGTGAGCCAGTAAGAGAGTGAGCCAGTGATGAGAGTGAGCCAGTAGAGAGTGAGCCAGTGAGAGAGTGAGCCAGTAAGAGAGTGAGCCAGTGGAGAGGAGCCAGTAGAGAGTGAGCCAGTAAGAGAGTGAGCCAGTGAGAGAAGAGAGTGAGCCAGTTGAGAGAGTGAGCCAGTGAGAGAGTGAGCCAGTTATGAGAGTGAGCCAGTGAGAGAGTGAGCCAGTAAGAGAGTGAGCAGTAAGAGAGTGAGCAGTAAGAGAGTGATGGAGAGTGAGCAGTAAGAGGAGTGAGCCAGTAAGAGAGTGAGCCAGTAAGGAGTGAGCCAGTGAGAGAGTGAGCCAGTAAGAGAGTGAGCCAGTGAGAGAGTGAGCAGTAGAGAGTGAGCCAGGGAGTGAGCAGTAGAGATGAGCCAGTAAGAGAGTGAGCCAGTAAGAGAGTGAGCCAGTGAAGAGAGTGAGCCAGTAGAGAGTGAGCCAGTAAGTAGCTAAGAGGTGAGCCAGTAGAGAGGGTGAGCAGTAAGAGAGTGAGCCAGTAAGAGAGTGAGCAGTGAGAGATGAGCCAGTAAGAGAGTGAGACAGTGAGAGAGTGAGCCAGTAAGAGTGAGCCAGTGAGAGAGTGAGCCAGTAAGAGAGTGAGCAGTGAGAGAGTGAGCAGTAGAGAGTGAGCCAGTGAGAGAGTGAGCCAGTAGAGAGTGAGCCAGTGAGAGAGTGAGCCAGTAAGAGAGTGAGCCAGTGAGAGAGTGAGCAGTAAGAGAGTGAGCAGTGAGAGAGCAGTAGAGAGTGAGCAGTAAGAGAGTGAGCCAGTGAGAGAGTGAGCAGTAAGAGAGTGAGCCAGTAGAGAGTGAGCCAGTAGAGATGAGCAGTGAGAGAGTGAGCCAGTAGAGAGATGTGTGCAGAGAGAGTGAGACCAGTAAGAGAGTGAGCCAGTAGAGGAGTGAGCAGTAAGAGAGTGAGCCAGTGATGAGAGTGAGCCAGTAAGAGAGTGAGCCAGTGAGAGAGTGAGCCAAGTGAGAGAGTGAGCCAGTGAGGAGTGAGAGAGTGAGAGAGTGAGCCAGTGAGAGAGTGAGCCAGTGAGAGAGTGAGCCAGTGAGAGAGTGAGCAGTAAGAGAGTGAGCAGTGAGTGTGCCAGTGAAAGAGTGAGCCAGTAAGAGAGTGAGCCAGTGAGAGAGTGAGCAGTGAGAGTGAACCAGTGAGAGAGTGAGCCAGTAAGAGAGTTGAGCCAGTAAGAGAGTGAGCCAGTGAGAGAGTGAGCCAGTGAGAGAGTGAGCCAGTAGAGAGGTGAGCCAGTGAGAGAGTGAGCAGTGAGAGAGGAGCAGTGAGAGAGTGACCAGTAAGAGAGTGAGCCAGTGAGAGAGTATGCCAGTGAAGAGTGAGCCAGTAAGAGAGTGAGCCAGTGAGAGAGTTGAGCCAGTAAGAGAGTGAGCCAGTGAGAGAGTTGAGCAGTGAGAGAGCTCCAGTGAGAGAGTGAGCAGTAAGAGAGTGAGCCAGTGAGAGTGAGCCAGTAGAGAGTGAGCCAGTAGAGAGTGAGCCAGTAAGAGAGTGAGCCAGTAAGAGAGTGAGCCAGTAAGAGAGTGAGCCAGTAAGAGAGTGAGCCAGTAAGAGAGTGAGCCAGTGAGAGAGTGAGCCAGTGAGAGAGTGAACCAGTGAGAGAGTGAGCCAGTGAGAGAGTGAGCCAGTGAAAGAGTGAGCCAGTAAGAGAGTGAGCCAGTGAGAGAGTGAGCCAGTAAGAGAGTGAGCAGTAAGAGAGTGAGTCGTGAGAGAGTGAGCCAGTAAGAGCAGTGAGCCAGTGAGAGAGTGAACCAGTGAGAGAGTGAGCCAGTGAGATAGTGAGCCAGTAAGAGAGTGAGCCAGTGAGAGTGAGCCAGTAAGAGAGTGAGCCAGTAAGAGAGTGAGCCAGTAAGAGAGTGAGCCAGTAAGAGAGTGAGCCAGTAAGAGAGTGAGCCAGTAAGAGAGTGAGCCAGTGAGAGAGTGAGCCGTAAGAGAGTGAGCAGTGAGAGAGTGAGCCAGTAAGAGAGTGAGCCAGTGAGAGAGTGAGCCAGTAAGAGAGTGAGCCAGTGAGAGAGTGAGCCAGTGAGAGTGAGCCAGTGAGAGAGTGAGCCAGTGAGAGAGTGAGCCAGTAAGAGAGTGAGCCAGTGAGAGAGTGAGCAGTGAGAGAGTGAGCCAGTAAGGAGTGAGCCAGTGAGAGAGTGAGCCAGTAAGAGAGTGAGCCAGTAAGAGAGTGAGCCATGAGAGTGAGCCAGTGAGAGAGTGTAGCCAGTGAGAGAGTGAGCCAGTAAGAGAGTGAGCCAGTGAGAGAGTGAGCCAGTGAGAGAGTGAGCCAGTAAGAGAGTGAGCAGTGAAGAGTGAGCCAGTGAGAGAGTGAGCCAGTAAGAGAGTGAGCCAGTGAGAGAGTGAGCCAGTGAGAGAGTGAGCCAGTAAGAGAGTGAGCCAGTGAGAGAGTGAGCCAGTAAGAGAGTGAGCCAGTAAGAGAGTGAGCCAGTGAGAGAGTGAGCCAGTAAGAGAGTGAGCCAGTGAGAGAGTGAGCCAGTAAGAGAGTGAGCAGTGGAGGATGAGCCAGTAAGAGAGTGAGCCAGTGAGAGAGTGAGCCAGTGAGAGTGAGCCAGTGAGAGAGTGAGCCAGTGAGAGAGTGAGCCAGTAAGAGAGTGAGCCAGTGAGAGAGAGTGAGCCAGTGAGAGAGTGAGCCAGTGAGAGAGTGAGCAGTAGAGAGTGAGCCAGTAAGAGAGTGAGCCAGTGAGAGAGTGAGCCAGTAAGAGAGTGAGCCAGTAAGAGAGTGAGCCAGTGAGAGTGAGCCAGTGAGAGAGTGAGCCAGTAAGAGAGTGAGCCAGTGAGAGAGTGAGCCAGTGAGAGAGTGAGCCAGTAAGAGAGTGAGCCAGTAAGAGAGTGAGCCAGTGAGAGAGTGAGCCAGTAAGAGAGTGAGCCAGTGAGAGAGTGAGCCAGTGAGAGTGAGCCAGTGAGAGAGTGAGCCAGTGAGAGAGTGAGCCAGTAAGAGAGTGAGCCAGTGAGAGAGTGTCCGGGTGTACCTATGTGAGTGTAAGAAAATACACGTAGTTTTGTGCAGTGTTTTTTGTCTCAGTGACCCATTCATCTCCCTCGTTTTCTGTCGCTACTGTTGTTGTAGTGTATGTATCCTTGATGTATTATGTTATTGTATTTTCTGTTGCTACAGTAGTGGTCTGCTGGTGTGTGTATCCAGATATGTATACATTTATGTGTTTTCTGTTACTAGTGTATTATGTATTCTGGATTGTTTTTCCTCATGTGTCATCAGTGGTGTTTTTGTCCAGTTATTGTTCTTGTTATTGTTCTTGTTATTGTTCTTGTTATTGTTCATGTTATTGTTCGTGTTATTGTTCGTGTTATTGTTCTTGTTATTGTTCTTGTTATTGTTCATGTTATTGTTCGTGTTATTGTTCATGCTATTGTTCTTGTTCTTGGTATTGTTCATGTTATTGTTCTTGCTATTGTTCATGTTATTGTTCTTGCTATTGTTCATGTTATTGTTCGTGTTATTCTTGCCATTGTTCGTGTTATTGTTCTTGTTATTCTTGTTCTTGGTATTGTTAATGTTTTTGTTCTTGTTATTGTTCATGTTATTGTTCGTGTTATTCTTGCTATTGTTCATGTTATTGTTCTTGTTATTGTTCATGTTATTGTTCTTGTTCTTGGTATTGTTAATGTTTTTGTTCTTGCTCTTGTTCATGTTATTGTTCATGTAATTGTTCTTGTTATTGTTCATGCTATTGTTCTTGTTCTTGGTATTGTTCATGTTATTGTTTTTATTGTTCATATTGTTCTTGTTCGTGCTATTGTTCTTGTTATTCTTGTTCATGTTATTGTTCTTGTTATTGTTCATGTTATTGTTCTTGTTCTTGCTAGTGTTCATGTTATTGTTCTTGTTTTTGTTCATGTTATTGTTCTTGTTCTTGTTATTCATGTTATTGTTCTTGTTATTGTTCATGTTATTGTTCTTGTTCTTGTTCATGTTATTGTTCTTGTTCTTGTTATTCATGTTATTGTTCTTGTTTTTGTTCATGTTATTGTTCTTGTTATTGTTCATGTTATTGTTCTTGTTCTTGTTCATGTTATTGTTCTTGTTCTTGTTATTCATGTTATTGTTCTTGTTTTTGTTCATGTTATTGTTCTTGTTCTTGTTATTCATGTTATTGTTCTTGTTCTTGTTCATGTTATTGTTCTTGTTCTTTCTATTGTTCATGTTATTGTTCTTGTTCTTGCTATTATTCATGTTCTTGTTCTTTCTATTGTTCTTGTTCTTGTTATTCATGTTATTGTTCTTGTTCTTGTTATTATTCATGTTATTGTTCTTGTTCTTGTTATTATTCATGTTATTGTTCTTGTTCTTGTTATTATTCATGTTATTGTTCTTGTTCATGTTATTGTTCATGTTATTGTTCTTGTTCATGTTATTGTTCATGTTATTGTTCTTGTTCATGTTATTGTTCATGTTATTGTTCTTGTTCTTGTTATTGTTCATGTTATTGTTCTTGTTCTTGCTATTGTTCATGTTATTGTTCATGTTATTGTTCTTGTTCTTGCTATTGTTCATGTTATTGTTCTTGTTCATGTTATTGTTCATGTTATTGTTCTTGTTCTTGTTATTCATGTTATTGTTCTTGTTCTTGCTATTGTTCATGTTATTGTTCATGTTATTGTTCTTGTTCTTGCTATTGTTCATGTTATTGTTCATGTTATTGTTCTTGTTCTTGCTATTGTTCATGTTATTGTTCTTGTTCTTGCTATTATTCATGTTATTGTTCTTGTTCTTGCTATCGTTCATGTTATTGTTCTTGTTATTGTTCATTTTATTCCCCTCTCCCTTCTAACCTTCGTCTCCCCCCTCTGATAGTTTCCCCTCTTTCCCCTTCCTTCTCCCCCTCTCAGCATTCTCCCCCCTTTCCCTCTCCCCCTCTCTCTTCCCCTCTCATCATCCTCCCCTCCTCTCTCCCTCACCCCCCTCTCTTCTTCCCCTCTCTCAGCCTCCTTCCCTCTCCCTCATCCCTTCCCTTACCACCTCCCCTTTACACCTTCCCCTCCTACTCTCCCCTCTTTCTATCTTTCCCTCCCTGCCTCGTGAAAGCCGCCATTGTGGGGTTACACAAGTGGGGTGTTGTGACTGAGGTTGTCATGGAGGGGGAGGCAGGGGGGAGGGGGAGGAAGGGGGAAGACTCGTGGGAATCTCGGCTACGCTAAACCCGCAGGGGCAAATAGACTTTGCGTGTCTTTTGTAGACAGGGGTCGGCGTCCCCCCCCCCCCCGCGCGAGCCGGCCCTGGATGCTGGCATCATTGATCAGGCACGCAGGTGTTATGGACACAGGTGTTGTGTATGTAGGTGTTATGGTCATAGGTGTTGTGTGTGCACAGGTGTTATTGTCACAGGTGTGTACGCAGGTGTTGTGGTTACATGTGTGTATGCAGGTGTTGTATCACAGGTGTTGTGTGTACACAGGTGTTATTGTCACAGGTGTTGTGTACGCAGGTGTTATGGTCACAGGTGTTATGTGTACACAGTTATGATCACAGGTGTTGTGTGTACGCAGTTATGATCACAGGTGTTGTGTGTACGCAGTTATGATCACAGGTGTTGTGTGTACGCAGTTATGATCACAGGTGTTGTGTGTACGCAGTTATGATCACAGGTGTTGTGTGTACGCAGTTATGATCACAGGTGTTGTGTGTATGCAATGATCACAGGTGTTATGTGTACGCAGTTATGATCACAGGTGTTATGTGTACGCAGTTATGATCACAGGTGTTGTGTGTACGCAGTTATGATCACAGGTGTTGTGTGTACGCAATGATCACAGGTGTTGTGTGTACGCAGTTATGATCACAGGTGTTGTGTGTACGCAATGATCACAGGTGTTGTGTGTACGCAGTTATGATCACAGGTGTTGTGTGTACGCAGTTATGACCACAGGTGTTGTGTGTACGCAGTTATGATCACAGGTGTTGTGTGTACGCAGTTATGATCACAGGTGTTGTGTGTACTCAATAATCACAGGTGTTATGTGTACGCAGTTATGATTACAGGTGTTGTGTGTACGCAGTTATGATCACAGGTGTTGTGTGTACTCAATAATCACAGGTGTTATGTGTACGCAGTTATGATCACAGGTGTTGTGTGTACGCAGTTATGATCACAGGTGTTGTGTGTACGCAGTTATGATCACAGGTGTTGTGTGTACTCAATAATCACAGGTGTTATGTGTACGCAGTTATGATCACAGGTGTTGTGTGTACGCAGTTATGATCACAGGTGTTGTGTGTACGCAGTTATGATCACAGGTGCTGTGTGTACGCAGTTGTGATCACAGGTGTTGTGTGTACGCAGTTATGATCACAGGTGTTATGTGTACGCAGTTATGATCACAGGTGTTATGTGTACGCAGTTATGATCACAGGTGCTGTGTGTACGCAGTTATGATCACAGGTGTTGTGTGTACGCAGTTATGATCACAGGTGTTATGTGTACGCAGTTATGATCACAGGTGTTGTGTGTACGCAGTTATGATTACAGGTGTTGTGTGTACGCAGTTTTGATCACAGGTGTTGTGTGTACGCAGTTATGATTACAGGTGTTGTGTGTACGCAGTTATGATCACAGGTGTTGTGTGTACGCAGTTTTGATCACAGGTGTTGTGTGTACGCAGTTATGATCACAGGTGTTGTGTGTACGCAGTTATGATCACAGGTGTTGTGTGTACTCAATAATCACAGGTGTTATGTGTACGCAGTTATGATTACAGGTGTTGTGTGTACGCAGTTATGATCACAGGTGTTATGTGTACGCAGTTATGATCACAGGTGTTGTGTGTACGCAGTTATGATCACAGGTGTTATGTGTACGCAGTTATGATCACAGGTGTTGTGTGTACTCAATAATCACAGGTGTTGTGTGTACGCAGTTATGATCACAGGTGTTATGTGTACGCAGTTATGATCACAGGTGTTGTGTGTACGCAGTTATGATCACAGGTGTTATGTGTACGCAGTTATGATCACAGGTGTTGTGTGTACGCAGTTATGATCACAGGTGTTGTGTGTACGCAGTTATGATCACAGGTGCTGTGTGTACGCAGTTATGATCACAGGTGTTGTGTGTACGCAATTATGATCACAGGTGTCGTGTGTACGCAATGTTATGGTCACACAGGTGCTATTGGCAAGCTTTTGTTTATTGACACGCAGGTGTTATGGGCACGCAGGTGTTGTCAGTACAGGTACTTGTTCAACACTTGTTTTGTGTATCACCAGTCTAGTCGGTCACCAGAGTCCTTGGGGGAAGCTTTAAACCCGTAGGGGTCATCCAACGCTTGGAGAATGGGAGATAATCAAGAGCCCTATACCAGCATCAAGGCTCTCCTTTCCGCAGGTTTGAAGCGATAAATTGAAGGTTTGGTCAGACTCGTTTAATCAAGAGCCTCTTATCAGCATCAGGGCACCCAATGACCCCATTGGAAATAAGGACCCAATGGAAATAAGTCAAGGACCCCAATGGAAATAAGTCAAGGACCCCAATGGAAATAAGTCAAGGGCCCTAGTGGAAATAAGTCAAGAACCCCAATGGAAATAAGTCAAGGACCCCAATGGAAATAAGTCAAGGACCCCAATGGAAATAAGTCAAGGACCCCAATGAAAATAAGTCAAGGACCCCAATGAAAATAAGTCATGGACCCCAATGGAAATAAATCAAGGACCCCAGTGGAAATAAGTCAAGGACCCCAATGGAAATAAGTCAAGGATCCCAATGGAAATAAGCCAAGGACCCCAGTGGAAATAAGTCAAGGACCCCAATGAAAATAAGGGAAGGACCCCAATGGAAATAAGGGAAGGACCCCAATGGAAATAAGTCAAGGATCCCAATGGAAATAAGGGAAGGACCCCAGTGGAAATAAGGGAAGGACCCCAGTGGAAATAAGGGAAGGACCCCAGTGAAAATAAGGGAAGGACCCCAATGAAAATAAGGGAAGGACCCCAGTGAAAATAAGGGAAGGACCCCAGTGGAAATAAGGGAAGGACCCCAGTGGAAATAAGTCAAGGACCCCAGTGAAAATAAGGGAAGGACCCCAATGGAAATAAGGGAAGGACCCCAGTGGAAATAAGGGAAGGACCCCAGTGGAAATAAGGGAAGGACCCCAGTGAAAATAAGGGAAGGACCCCAGTGGAAATAAGGGAAGGACCCCAGTGGAAATAAGGGAAGGACCCCAGTGGAAATAAGTCAAGGACCCCAGTGGAAATAAGTCAAGGACCCCAGTGGAAATAAGTCAAGGACCCTAGTGGAAATAAGTCAAGGACCCCAGTGGAAATAAGTCAAGGACCCCAGTGGAAATAAGTCAAGGACCCCAGTGGAAATGAGTCAAGGACCCCAGTGGAAATAAGTCAAGGACCCCAGTGGAAATAAGGGAAGGACCCCAGTGGAAATAAGTCAAGGACCCCAGTGGAAATAAGTCAAGGGCCCCAGTGGAAATAAGTCAAGGACCCCAGTGGAAATAAGTCAAGGA